CATCTTCCTTCTCTCCGTGCCTAGGTGGGCCGAGCCCCCAACGTGGTCATCGTGTTCGACTGCTCCATGGAGACCATGGTGCGGAGGGTGCTGCGGCGTGGGCAGCTGGAGTGCCGGGCTGACGACTGCGAGGCTGCCATCCGTCGGCGCCTGGAGACCCACTACTCACTGTGCCAGCCCGTGCTGAGTTTCTACCAACAGAAGAACCTGCTTCGAAACGTAGGTGCCCCCAGCCTAGGGCACACCCAGCTGCACAGCACAGGGCCTCACCTCGCCTGGTCCAGGGCATTTTCACTGGGCCTCACTTTTTTTTTTTTTTTTTAATCTTTTGTTTTTGGCAACATATACACAACCAAACCTACATCCATTCAGTTTCTCCCTCAGCAGTTCAACATTGGTTCCACCCTTCACACCGTGTCACCATGCTCCCTACCTCCACCCACAGTGTTTGGCCACCATTAGTTTTTGTTGTACCTAGGGTTGCTGAGTTGGAACTGACTTAATGGCAACTAACAAGTTTAAGGGGAGCTCTGGTGGCGTAGTGCCTAAGGCACTTGACTGCTAACCAGAAGGCGGGCAGTTCAAACCCACCAGCCACTCCTTGGAAGGAAGGTTGGGCGATCTACCTCCATAGTGATACTGCCTCAGAAACCCAAGGAGGGGTCGCTAGGAGAGTCGGGGCCGACTCAACGGCGCATAACAACAAGTTTAAGGAGCTCTGGTGGTGTAGTGCCTAAGTCATTTGGCTGCTAACTAGAAGGTTGGTGGTTCAAACCCACCAGCCACTCCACAGAAGGACGACTGGGCAATTTACTTCCATAAAGATTTACTGCCTTGGAAATTCAAGGTGGGGTAACTATGAGTCGGAATCAACTCGATGGCAGTGAGTTTGGCTTTTTTTTTTTTTTTTTGGTAAAAAGTTCAGACTCTCTGTCCCTGGAAGTTCTCACCTGTGATTTAGTTTAGCTGTTGCCAGTTTACACTTAAATATTATTAGAGTGCCGTGCTCAAGGCAAACATCCTTTAGTACTGTTTACACAAATAACTCCATGCGTTATATGGGTTTTGTGAACCACACACACACACACACACACACACACCCCGTTAGTTTCCTACACGGCTATGCATGTTATATGAGGGTAATACGTTAATTGGCCTAAACTGTTGTCTGGCTCAACAATAGCATCATGGGATTTAAAGATGGTGTCTGGGCAGATTTGGGAGTTCCTCCACCTTCAGTGGATGCAGGAAGTCTGGTTTGCAAATGAATTTGAGCTCTGTTCTGCGCTTTCCCTCCTTTTGGGCAGGGTCCACCTGCCGTGGACCCGTTTTCCATTTTGTGGATGGGGAGTGCGTGGGTAGACCCTCTTTCTCCTTACACAGCAGAGGCTCAGGTTCTGACAAGGCTGGAGGTCCAAACCAATTTGTTGTCTGTTGCCATGGAGTCAGCCCCAAGTCATGGCGACCCCAAAGGACAGAACAGAACTGTTCTGTAGGGTTTTCTTGGCTGCAGTCTTCAAGGAAGGAGTCTTGGTGGTGCAACAGTTAAGAGCTGAGCTGCTAACCAAAAGGTTTGCTGGTTCAAAGCCACCCAGTGGCTCTGGGGGAGAAAGACCGGGTGATCTGCTCCTCTGAAGATCGCAGCCAAGAACACCCTCTAGGGCAGTTCTACTCTGTGACACGGGGTCACCCGAGTCAGAACAGACTCCACGGCACCCAACTACTCTCTGTATGGAAGCAGATTGCCAGGGCTCTCTTCCAGTGAGCGACTAGGTGGGTTTGAATCTTCAACCTTTGAAGCCAGAAGGAGCCAACAGCAAACACTTGAACCACCCAAGCTCCTTCAGCAAATCTGTTCCAAAGACAGAGATGAAAATAAGTCAGTCTTCGAAAACAGCAGCCCAACCAAAGGTGAGAGCAACTGGCCATCCACAGTGCAAGTCAAGTGCAGCCATCCAGATCAGACTCAAGGTGGGAAGTAGGGACACCCTGCCATTCTGCTATTGCAGTCATGACGATACAAGGGAATGCTGGCGATGTCCCCATCCCTGTCTGCAGGGGAGGGCCCGCCATGCACCTCTCCCTTCCTCTAGACAGGCATTCTCAAAGGCGGCGACTGCCACATCCTACGGAGCTACCTTTGACTAGCAAGGACAACCATACTGTCCCCTTGCCCAGGCAGCTTGTGCCTGAGTGACCACCTATGTTCTTCCCAAAGCAGCCCACACAACCTTCCTGACTCATCCCCCTTCCCTCACTGGAGCTGTCCTGGGCACTTAATTTCTCAGAGGCATGGGGAGCTGTCTGTCCCCCAGGCTTGTCAGAGGGGTCCTGGGTAGTGTCCTTGCTGTGACTCAGAGCTGGCTTCTCCTCCTCTAGATCCTGGCAGAAGAGGCCCCGGAGAACATTTTTGCCAAGTGCTGCTGTGTCATTGAGAGCCTGCAGTGAGCCAGGCAGGGCTGCGCAGGACTCGTGGGTGGTAAGACATGGTGCTGGCCCCTGGGTTCCGACCTAGCCAACCCTCCTGAACCTCAGAGCAAGCGCCGTCTTGGGACCAGTGCCCCAAATCACCAACCATGCCCACAGGGGCGGGTTCCCAGCCACCTGGAGGTCATGGGGGCTGTGATGGCCCCACCTAGAGGCAGCATTTGTCACTGCCACTGCCACACACTGTGGACCCAGGCAGCCAGATTCTGGGTTCAAATGTTGGTCACTGACCCCCGATTTCAAAAGGGCCACTCTAATCATCTGCAGCAGAATGTCCCAGGGTCCAATAGCTGCCACGGCCTTAGTCCCCACACTGGGACGGGCAACACTTTAATGAACTTGCTGGGTCTAACCGTTAATAAAACAGGCCAAAGCCTGGTCCGGATCAGGGCCAGGCCGTCCTGGAGGCCCAGCGCTGGGTATGTTCTGTGGCAAGGTGCATCCATGGGAACCCACGTCCCGTGGGCCTACACCCAGAGGGAGAAGCGGGAGGGGAAGGCAGTGCTGCTGGGCTCGACGTGCTCCCCCTTTCAGTGAGGGCGCCATACCCCACTCTGATCCACCGAGCCTACAAAGACAACTGCGGCCAGCATACAGCTTTTAAACAAAAAGCACTTTATTTAACCAAAAGAAAAAAGAAAAAAATGTTAAGAAAGCACAGTATACCTGCAGAAAACTATTTAAAAAAAAAAAAAAAAACCAACACAAAACTTGTCCTTCCCAATCACCATCACCAGGCGGTTACAACAGCTGAACGACAGACAGCGGCTTTAAAACTACGGCCAGAGGGGAGACAGACGGCACCCAGCAGACACGGGGAGATTTTGTTATCATTTATTTGTGAAGTTAAAAACGAGCGATAAAAAGTAAAAACTGCCATACAATTTTTGTTTTCAGTTTCAATCCCCTCTTGAACAGATGAAACACGAAGACCAGTCCTGGGTGGGCAGGGGGTGGGCGGCGGGGAGCGAGCTAGAATGGGAGGAGGAGCGAGCGAGGAGCAGAGGCGCCGAGGGCTTGCTGGGGGGGGGGGGGGGACGGGGATGGGTTTGGAGGCAGGGGGTCTTGTTCTGCAATACCAACACCTGGTCCCAGGAATGTTCCAACTCTAACTAAAACAAAGAAATAGCAAGAGTGACTTTTTAAAAAGTTTATTTTAAAAACAAGAAAGAGGGCCAAGGATGGTATAGGGAGAAAATGAATTGTGTTAACCCTGAAAGAGGCAGTCTCAGGAGACTGGAGATAGAGATTTATATATATATATATATAATTTTATAGAATTTGTTTCGCTTTTGGTTTTCTCTCTCTCTGTCTTGTTTGTTTGTTTTGCAGAGGTTTAGTCCTCGCCATCTTCCATGGCGGGCTCAACATGAAGGATCCCAGTTTTGAAAGGAAAAGGATGGGAGACACACAGAACGTGCGAGAGAGCGAGAGCGTGGCCCACGTGGGCCGCGAATCCCGGGGCCACTCACAGCGAGGGCTCCCGGCATGGCCTCGTGGCAGCCATCGCTCTCTCGCCAGACCAAAAAAAAAAAAACAAACAAACAAACAAAAAAGAGCCTCAAACAGAACAAAATGGAAAAAAAAAAAAATAAAGGTTTTCACAGATGAAGAAGTTCACATTCATTCGATTCATTGAGCCTGCGGAGAGGGGAGAGATAGGAATCGGTCACTAGGGGAGGGGGAGGCAGGGCAGGAGGGAGGGCAGCGGGGGCGACAGGCCCTGTCCCGGGCTCGCGGATGTGTGTTCACTGCCTGGTCAGGTGTTCGAGGGACTGGCTCCTTGCTGGCGAGGAGGGAGAAGCACACAGAGGGCGGGCGCGGCAGCAGGGAACAGCAGCAGGGCCAGACAGAGAGGGGCAAAGAAGCGCTCGGGGTGGGGGTGGGGGTGCCCTTCGCCTGGAGGAAGGTGGGCGGCTCCCAGCGCGTCACAACATCAACATTTTCTGAGATCACGGTGTCCCCACAACACCCCTGTGAGGTAGGTTGGAAGGTGGCAACGATCGTCATGCCCACTTCACAGACAAGACCGGGACACAGCGGCGGGCAGGCGGGCGGGCGAGCGAGCGAGCTGGGCGGGCCGGGCGGCCTCCCCTCATCCCTGCCCGGCCAGCAGCGCTGACCCCATGCTGGGGCCGCCTGCAACACAGTCACTTGGACGCGAGGAAAAATACCGCGGGTTTAAAACTCGAAGAACAAAAGGAACAAAAACCAAAAAAGTAATGCAGAGAGGGGAAAAACCAACTTCGTGGCCAGGTTTGAGTGAGTTGGCAGCCGGGCCGGCGACCAGCCCCGAGCTGTCTGCTGCCCCCCCCCTCCCCAACTACCCACCAGCTCCAGAGTCCCGTCTGTGTCTCTCCGGGTGCTCCCCCCACGTCATGACAGCGTCACACAGGAACAAGCAGGCTGGCGGCGGAGGCCTCTTCTTAAGCCTCTGGACCCAGCGCACACGCCCCCCCGGCTGGCGGGGGCTCCCGGAGACCTCGGCCACTCGGCCCCGCTGCAGGCAGGCATCAGGGACACACCCCGCAGGGGAAGGGGTTGCCGGCGCTACCCACTAAGGCAGGATGGACGGTGGCTGGGGGTTGGAAGGAGAAAGGAGGAGGAGGAGGGTGGCAGTTCCCACTTGCCTGCTGCTGTCCCTGCTGTGTGGGCGGAGGCTGGGGGCCGCCGGGGCCAGGGGTCTGTCCGTAGTAAGCGGCCTGCTGCCTGTAATATTCGGCCCAGGCGGCACTGTAGTCTGGCTGGGAACCAGGGGGTGCACCTGGACCCCCTCCGGTGGCCACTTGAGCTGTGGTGGGGAGCAAGAGGTGTGAGCAGCGGGCTGCGGGGCGACTGCCATCCCCCATCCTGCCCGGCCGCCCACGTACCTTGCTTTTTGTAGTACTCCTCCCAGGCCTTCGTGTAGTCCTGCTGAGGGGGTGCTCCGGGTTGCTGTGGCTGCTGGCCTGTGGGCGTGGGCAAGGCCATCAGAAAGGTCAAAGAGCAGCTCATTGATGGCGCGGTTCTCAGCCCTTCCCCAACAGAACCAGAACCCCTTCAATGGCGCTGCACACTCACCGATCTTTTTGTAATACTCCTCCCAGGCCTTGGTGTAGTCTGACTGGCCAGTGGGTGGGGGCTGTGGAGGCTCCCCCTGAGTTGGGGGAGCCGCAGGGGCTGGCGCAGGTCCTGGCACAGGGCCCGGGGGCTGCTGGTAGTAGTGCGAGTAATAGGCAGCCCAGGCAGCATTGGGGTCTGCCGCGGCAGCGGCTGCTTTATCTGCCACAGGAAGGGGAACAAGTGCTGAGACAGGGAGCACAAGTAGCGGGCTGCCTTCCTGCCTGGACACTCCGGCCCCTCCTCATCTAGGCACCCATCACTTACTTGGGTCATGAGGAGCAGGCGGTTGCCACTGGGGATAGGTATTGCCCCAGCCCTGGGGTGGGTACTGGTGAGGAGGGGGGCCCCCGGCGCTGTAGGATAAAAAAGACACACACAGTTCTCTCCTGGCTGTGGCCACTGTGCTGGGGAGGGGGCAAGGATGGGTGGAGGGCTGAAAGAAAGAATATGGCCAGAGGACAGGCCCAGACCACCAGACTCAAGAAATGCCCGCCTGTGTGGTCAACTCCAGGATCCTTGTGGAGGGAAGGTGTGAGACAACTAGTGACATGAAAGGCTGGCCTGTGATGGCTCAAGGACACGTAACAGAAGCCCTCAATTTCACCAGGCACAAAAAATACATGGTGGGTATGTACATGGGTAGAGATTGGGGTCATCACTCATAAAACTTTTTTTCTATTACTGTCCACAAAATGAAGAAAATCCCTGGGTGGTGCTAACAGTCAACACATTTGGCTGCTAAACCAAAAGGTGGCAGCTCAAGTTCACCCAGAGGCACCTTGGAAAAAAGGCTTCACCATCAGCTTCTAGTGCCTAAGGCACTTGACTGCTAACCAGAAGGCTAGCGGTTCAAACCCACCAGGCACTCCTCGGAAGGAAGGTTGGGCAATCTACTTCCGTAGTGATACTGCCTCGGAAACCCAAGGAGGGGTCGCTATGAGTCGGGTCCGACTTGACGGCACATGACAACAACAACAACAGATCAGCTTCTAAAACCTCAGCCACTGAAAACCCCATGAACACAGCTCCACTCTGAAACAACTGGGTGGCGTTAGGAGTGGGAGTCAACTCATACAAAACCAGGAGGCTGCCAGGCCAGGGCCTGAGACCCTAAGATCAGCACTTAGGCTGGGACTCTGGGTGGTGACTTGAGCTCCATCACGCTTCCTGCCAAAACAGCAACCCCATGTCCCAAACTGTAGGAAGCCAAAGGGAATACTCACTGAGGAGGAGCCCCTGGTGGGCCCTGATTAAAGGGTCCAGGGTTGAAGGGCCCCATTGGGCCAGCAGGGCCAGGTCCCCCTGGCCCGGGTCCAACTGGGCAGAGAGGACCCTGCAAAAGAGCACAGGATTGAGGTCAGAAGGCTGGGAGACAGGCATGGCAACACAGCCTAGCCCTCAAGAGCTCCTCACAAGCCCACCTCTATCTTTTCCTCGATGAGCTGCTTGGCGTGGTCAATCTGCTGGGGTGAGCCTCGGATGATGAACAACTTGAAGTTGGGGTCCCCATTGGGCGGCAGCTGCCGTGAGATCTCCACAAAGGCGCCTGTCTGCTGGTTTATGGCTTTCACATTTTCGCCACCTGCAAGAGCAGCAGCAGGTGAAGGGGATACAGGGAGAGGAGGTGGGGAGCGAGGGGTGGGGAGCGAGGGGTGGGGCCTGGCGCATGTGGGTATACTCACCTCGGCCGATGACCAGCCCGCACTTATGAGTGGGGATGGAGAAGGTCATCTCCCCGCCTGGGGGGCCCCAGTTGCCCTGGCCTCTGCCCCGGCCCCGGCCTCCAGGGGGCATGCCTGGACCACCGGGAGGGCCGGGAGGACCACTCTGCAAGAACAGGGAGGGGAGGGGTGTAAGCAGAGGAGTGCCCCAGGAATGCTTGGCCAGCTGTGAGCACACGGTGGACGCCCTGGCCCCTCAGGGTTCGTGGTCACCTACCCTGAGGCTCTGAAGGAGGTCGTTGATGATGCGGGCTGCATGCTCACACCTGTCTGGAGGCCCCATGATGTGCGCGATCTTCTCAGGACCCGTCCCGTCATCTGTGACCAGCAGAGAAGGCAAAGACGGATGGAAGAGCAGAGCAAAACAGAGACGCCACATTCTGCCTCTCTGGGTGTCTAAGATGCCCTCACTGTACCCAGTATACTCGGGGGGCTTAGAGGACACAGCCTAGGGACCTGTGTCCAGCACCCCCCATGCTAGCTCTTGAGTTTTTAGAGAACTAAAACTAACAACTCTCTGAAAACCAAAAGAGAGGATTCTCTTCCCTAGCTGTGCTGCTAGAGCCTGCTGTTGGGGTTTCTGGGGTGGAAAAGGAGCAACAAGTGATGGGAAGATGACCAGTCACTCATCTCTCAATGAACTGTCATGTGGAAAAAGGGACAGGTACATTTTCATGGCCAAACTGGGGGGTGGGGGCTCCCACACAGGTGGCTGGCTGGGTGATAGGTAGGCAGAGGCCTGTGGTGTGAGTCTGCAAGGGGCTGCCCATCCCCCTCCCCTCCCAGGCTGAGCTCTGACCTTGTTTGAACTGTATCCGTACACCAGCGTCATTCTGGATCTTCTTGATCATCTCTCCACTCCGGCCGATGACAACCCCGACTGAATGCCTGGGCACCGGCACCTGGGGAAGGGGCCAGCGTGAGGCTTAGCTCCGTCCTGCCCCTTTGCTGCCCCCTGCTGCCCACCAGGGAAGGCTGCACTCACATCAATGCCTCCGCCAATACGTGATCCGTACTCATTCCGGTCCCCAAAGCCACCTTGGTCACGCTCCCGCAGGATGTCCATCACCATCTCACAGGCTTGCTGGAGACACAGGCGCACAGTCCACACACAGGGCACAAAAGAGCCACACACAGGGCATGGGGCCATATGAGCACAGCACAGAGAGCACATGCCACCCCCCAGGTGCCTGGGACCCAGGATCAGGCCTGACACACACGTGCACAGCCTGGCACAGGACCCTGCTGGGTTCTTTCCAGGTTCCATACTCTCCCAAAGCACAGGCAACTGCCAGCACCCAGCACGCAGATGACAGTATCAGGGGCTCAGACCACGTGCTCAAGCGGACAGTGAGGAAGCAGCTCTGCTCCTGAAAGCCACCCCGTTACGCCTGCCCCCTTCTCCAGTGAAGACATGTCCCGCACACCACCCGCCTGCCCCTCTGCTCCAGGACGCACTCACTTGTACTTTATAGGGGTCGCCAATGATGCGGAGAGGTTTGTCCACATTGGTGTTCTGGGAGCCATCCTGGATTAAGATCATCTTCACTCCAGCTCGTTCCTTTATCGTGAAGGTTGACTGTGAGCGTCAGGCTCTCACACCACTTTCCATAGGTGGGGGAGGGCGGGCGCAGTCAGAGGACAGACAGGACAGACATCGACAGAGATGGAGACATGGAGAAGAGGACTTCTCACCTGTAGCTGTTTGATCGTCTCCCCACCCTTGCCAATGACCAGGCCGGCCTTCCCCGCAGGGATCATGATCTCCTGCACAGTGCCATTCTGGCCCCCATTGGCATTGTCATGGAACTGCCCTGGGGGGCCACCGCGACCTCGAGAGACGATGTCGTCCAGCATCATCTTTGCTTTCCTGGTAAGGGGAAGAACAAGGTGCCACCACTTGACAAGAGATGTACTCTGGGGGCCCACCCAGCTCCAAGGGAAGTGTCTGCAGGGAGTATCTAACTGATTACTAGGAAGGGAGCAGTCACTGCTGAGTGGTCAATCCTAGAGGTGTCCCTGATTTTAGGATCCAGGGGACCCAGATGGCAGTGTCACCCTAGAGGGGGCAGGGATTGAGAACACAGCATGGGATTCACCCCGACTACCAAGAGACCTGACTCGGAAGCCCTGGGGCCATAAGAGCTTCTTCTCCTGGGGCAGCCAGGAACTTACTGGACAGACTCTGGGGCTCCTGTGAGGGACACACTGCGCTCAGGGAGGCCACCACTGTCTGGAGAGAAGAGGAGAGAAGGTCAGTGCCTGTGCTGGCCTGCAGACACTAGAAAGGCCCCCCTGCCACTGCCTGGCAGTCTGACAAGTCCATTTACCTCCCCAACCCCTGGGGGATGCTCCAGGCAAGGCCCAGAGCAAGCAACTTAAAACTCAGTAAGGGCAGAGTTCTTAAATATGGGGCAAAAATAGACGCAGTTCCTAGAAAGCCCCACAGTGGGCCAACCTTCCATACCCGCACGACCACTGATGGCACACTATAGCCAAGGTTCTTTAGAAATCAAGTTACTCCTCAGAAATCCCTGCCACGCAGGTACCAAGGAACTCAGAAAAGTGAGGGGCAAAGAGGGGAACAACTTGTCTCAGACTCGACAAGCAACCAGGCAGAACTGGGATCGAATCCCAGGCCTGACTGCACAGCGACTGCTCTGGTTCACCACCTGGCCTCATTCACGTCCACTATGTTTGTTAGGCCTTTGATGTAGGTGGTGATACACAGGTTCAGAGCAGAGTCTAGACCGATGCCTCCTGTATTCAATTCTAGATCTTCCAATCCCCGTTGTCCCCGCAAAATGAGAACAGTCACAGATCCACAAGAGGTGAGACACTGCACTTGGCCTGGTATTGAGTGAGTTCTCAACACACAGCTCACCTCACTTCCACGTTCACCACAGACATGCAGGCAGCTAATGCTAGCCCCCACCCTGGCAGGAACCCAGGTACCCATACCTGGCGAGATCTGTACTTTGCAGCCTGAGTCCTGCTGTATTTTGTTAATCTGTTCACCTCCTCTGCCAATGACTAGGAAGACAAAAAGGAGAAAGGCAGACTGAGGACGTCAACCCAGAGCCATGAGACACCATAAGGAGGGGTCCCCAGTCCCTCGTATCTGGAAGAGGGAAGCAGCCAGGTCAAGAGCTCCCTGTCTTCCCGTCCAGTGAGGACAAAGGAGAGATGAACAAGAGCAGAAACAAGTGGCCCTTTCAGACCCAAGCCTCCTGGGCTGACAGGAGCTCAGGGGATACAGTCCCTGCAAGGGGAAACGCTGGTGTCTCTCCCAAAGTAATGGGAACTAACCACTGAGCACACTTACTCAGTCCCACCATGCCATCTGGGACCCTGTACTCTTCTGTCATCGAAGTCCTAGAAAGAGAGACATTGGCAATCAGTCCTGAGTGGGAAAGGGTGGGCAGGAGCTCCAGGTTTCTGGCTTCTAATCCCACTTCCTACAACATGGGGACCAGGACTCCACAGGCCTAACACAGTCTGACCTCAGCACAGACACCCTTTCCTATGGCAGGGCACCATGCTGCTGCTGCTTTTTTTTTTTTTAATGAGAGCAGTGGCCACAAAAGGCAGGTTTTTTTTTTTTTAATTGTGATTTGGGTAAAAGTTCAGAGCAAATTCGTTTTCCATACAGCAGTTCACATACACTTCTGTGGCACCATGTTTCTTGAGGCTTTGCTTTCCCACCTATGCCAGAGGGCTGGTCTGGGTCAGTGTGGCCCATGGACCAGGGCTGGTCCTCCGACTCAGGGTAAGAACAAGCATTCAGGTGCTGTAACAACCCACAAGAGAACTTTCATGTCAGCTGACTCTGATAACAAAAATACTGATTCTGCACTATTGTGACTCCATTTTTCTAGTAGATTATTTTTATCCTATTCCATAAAACTTCCATCCCATTGAAAAGGAGAACTCCTTGGGAAACATGACATCAGGTCCATCTAAGTCTATCTGGGACCACAAAAAGGCAGAAAAGACGCCCCCAGGCTCAATGACCACAGAGGGATTGAGTATTTGCAGAAGACAAATGAGAAAAAAGTCAAGCGCCCTGCTCAGCCTTTTCTTGGGAGACAGATGTCCATGTCCTGCTGTTGTCCCCACCCAACAAAGGAAGCAACAGGGGCTGAGACCACCATTCCCTTATGACAGCTGACTACTATAAGCTTAACCCCCACCCAAAGGGGAGCACAAGGATCAGGTGCAGCTCCTCTGGGTCCTCAGTCAGCCAAGCGAGCACCTCAGCAGTGCCGCCCCAGACAGAGAATGCCTGCCAAAGGCAGTCAGAAAGGCGGACGGGGAACCAGCATACTCCCACATCTTACCTCGGGGGAGGATGGATGGGTCCAAGCTGAGAACTGATTGCTGCAAAGAGAAAATCCAATGGAAAGATTGCCCCAGTGCCTCTCAGGGAATCCAAAAACGAGATGGAGCTCAGGCCCTGTGGCGCTGATCCACCTTGAGTGCCCGACAAGCACCATGGACCCTCCTTAGGGAAGTCCATGCGTGGAATACTGCCTGTATTCCTGGGGATGCTAGGATCCCTTGAGCTCACGGACCCCAGATTACCAACACCCGGAGACTCCAGAAAGGAGTGCTATCGTCTGCTTGGTGTTTCTTGATCCTAACCCCTCAAACCCTCTCTCACCCTGGTGCTGCCCTCTGCCTGCATCACCCCATGGACTTACAGTCTCCCTGGGCGGCCAGCTTCTTGCTCTCAGGTTGGTCTGTGAAAGAGAGGATGTCATTTGCAGCACCCACCCACTCACAGTTGCCTCAAACCTGATGTTGGTGCCACATGTCCTGGACAAACAGCCCCCTGATCCCCAGAACCAGAGCTCAGACAAGCAGCTAGAAAAGACCAACCCTGGAGGGGACCAGATCCCCCCCCATTCTACCACCAGCACCCAAGTCAAAAAGTCCTTTCTATCCCATGAAAAATGATGGCAGCCACTGCAGGCCACACCTGCCTGGGTCAGATGGGATCTGTGGGAAGGAGGCAGGATTGGTCATTCAGTTGATAATTTGTTTTTGACCACTGTGGGTGATGTCCAGGCCCGTGGGCCAGCCAAACTTTGGACCCAGCTTATAACATCAACGTGTGTTTAAAGCCACCAGAAGAGGAAGAAGGATCTCAAGAACCTACACCCAGAACCTATCACAAACAATCCATCTTCCTCTGCTACCTGATACCTCAAGATGGCAGAACCAAACAAAAACGATGAACAAAGCAGGGATCGCTGAGGGTTTAAAAGACCAAATGGCAGCAAATTCCCCCCACCCAAGCCACCCTTCAACAAAGGTGCCTTGCTCTCTCCCTCTACGACCCCTCTTCCCATGCAAAGGCAGCACCGGGAATTTACCTCCATCTTCCAACTGTCGCTTTTGGCCCCCAAAACCAAAATCAGGAGTGCTGTTATTCACTGTTGTAGCAGCGTCGCCTCCAATCTTGGCTGCTATCTAGAAATGAAGTAGGAAACACAGCAGAGTTACTACTAAACGCAACACCATCAGCAGGGCTTGTTCCACTTTTCAGAACACTGTCAAATTACCACAACCTGCGAGTCCTGCTGCTGGGCCCACAAGTGGCTTCCCCCAATGATGGAGGGAAGAGCCTATTTGTTGAAACAGCCAAGGCAGAGTTCTTAGACAGGCCGCAGGCTCAAACGTTATCCCTCTCAATGGGATATGTTGTGACCAGACTGTAATCCACATCGACTCCATTCTGGGAGGGACTGAAGTTCTGGCACCAAGTTTGTGGGGGCACTCAAGTCATCTCTGTGGGAGGAAGCTTCCATCCTCATTGGGAGTAGCCCCAATGCAAAGCCAGAAAGTTTTGATTTCACCCCCATTCTCCTGGATGCTGAAGAATACAACTTTCCTGCCTTTCCCTTACCCTCATAACTTCCATATTTACTTACACATTAGAAAGTTTTTCATTCAAAGCCCACAAACCACAGCCGAAAAGCAGAATGCTGACTTACAGCGATCCTATAGCACCGAGTATAACTGCCCCATAGGTTCTCAAGGCTGTAAATCTTAACAGAAGCAAACTGCCTCTTCTTTCTCTTGCAAGAGCAGCTGCTGGATTCAAATAGCCAACTTTTCAGTTGGCAGCTGAGTGCTTTAACAGCACCACTGGCACCTGAAATCCTCATTTGGACCAAAACAAAAGCTCCTTTTCAAATGCATGTTACGTTTTAGACACATAAAGGGCAACTTCAAATAAATTCCAAGGATCCAGCAAAGCTGAAACCAGGTTCTGTTTATGGATATCGCAAACTCCCCAAGAAACACAAACCATGGGTTAAAGACTTATTTTCTTCCCCCTTTACTTGGCGCGCGCTCTCTCTCTCTCTCTCTCCCTCTCTCTTAAGTGCTTACTTTGAGCCAAGCCTTTTGGGGTGGCCAGGTAGGATCTTATCTCCGCTTCCTCCAACAGACAGCATCAAACCCTCATCCTCTGAATCAAGGCAATTCCATGGGGAGCCAGATCAAATGTGTCAGAACCCTGCTCCACACCAGAGGTGGCAAAACCACAGACCACACTGGGCAGGAACAAGGGAGTTCACCTAACGGGACCTCCCACCTCGGGAGGGGCCTGTCCCAGCCCTAGAGGCACCGGGCAACCCCCCGGGCTCCCTGCCTTGCAGAGCAGGGTCTGCTTTCTGAAAGGGCGGCAAAGTTTTCTGGTTTTGGAGCCCCCTCATCCCTCCAGGAGAGGCAGAGGCTGAGAAAGGGGCCCAAGAGGTCAGCTACACCAGCACATGACACCTCCATGTCATCATGCCTCAAAACACTGGGGTGGGACTCTCCCCTCTTCCGCCAAAACCACAGAGCCACTTTCAGGCCAAAAGCACGGGTCTCAGTTAGCCCCTATGCCCCTTCGGCCGGACAAGGGTTCCCTCTCCGCCTTGCAGACTCAAGAAAAAGAACTTTTTATTTGAACCACAAATCCCTTTTTCGGAGAAAGATGCACAAACGAAATTAGGGTGGGGGGCAAGGCAAGACCCTATCACAGACAAAGAAGACGCTTTGCTACCACAACAGCGAAACATCCCTTCGTTTGTTCTGCCGACGGGGGTGTCCCAAAGTGAGTCCGAGCTCAGGGACCCCTTGCACACCCCAGGGTCGCTCTTAGGGACCCCCACACATCCCCTCCCCGTGCACGGGGTCACCCGCGGGAAGCCCACCCGAGGCGCCTAGGGACAGCCAGGCCCCCGCCGCCTGCCCCAC